CTTGTCCGTCCGGCGTCCGTGCTCACATCGATCTTGCTGGCGCTTGTAATCGTGATCCTGCTCGTGCTCGTGCTCGTGAGCTCACCTGCTCACGAACACGTGCTTACGTGCTCGTGTGGGGCAAAGAAATATGATGAAAAAAAAAAGATATGTTTGCGCAGTCGACAGGATTCGAACCTGTGCGGGGAGACCCCAGCGGATTTCTAGTCCATCGCCTTAACCACTCGGCCACGACTGCGGGACGAGTAGGGGCTCTGAGATGTGGTAGTAACTGAAGAGCTGGGGATGTCATGGATGAAACGTTGCATGTAGCCGCTCAACGCCTATACAGGAGAGGGCGTTGTGGTCAAATGCGTATATCATCATCATCATCATCATTTATTTTCCTTGAGGGACACAGGGGGCATTATACAAGGGAGTGAACACAATAAAAACATCAACAAAAATAGTTAATAAAAAACACGCTGTAACCTATACTTGTATTTCAGAAATAAGGAGGTTAACAGCTGCAGCAAACTTGTTAGTGTCAGTCATGTTTAAAATACGGTCAGGTAATGAGTGCCAATCTTCAATAGCAGATGGTAAAGTCGACATTTTATAAGAGACAGATGACGAAGTAATTGAGCGCAGTTTACATGAGTAGTCAAAACGAGGGAAAATACGGTAGGGAGGTGATAGTAGAGAATCTTTTAGATGGTTGCTGTGGTAAAAGATTTTGTGAAGAAGAGTGAGACGTGACACCCTTCGACGTAAAGAAAGTAAGTCAAGGTTAGCTGATTTGCGCAATCCTGATATGCTAGTGTATGGGGAGTAGTCAGAGTAAATAAAACGAAGACCTCTGTTTTGAACGGATTCAAGGTTGTTAGTTAGATATGATTGCCATGGTGACCATATGGATGAAGCAAATTCAAGTTTAGATCTGACCAAGGTCGTATAAGCTAGTAGTTTTACTGAAGGTGTAGCTAGTCTGAGGTTACGGCGAAGAAATCCGAGAGTACGGTTAGCATCGGCAGTGACAGCATTTATGTGAGTAGACCATGACAGATCAGAGGTCAGGTGAACGCCTAGGTATTTATATGACGAACAGGTAGCTACTGGGATAGTGGAAAGGTGATAAGAAAAGGATGAAACATGTGAACTGCGAGTGAATGATAGAGATTTACATTTATTAAAGATTAAAGTCATTTGCCATTTGTGGCACCACTGAGTTATAAGTGCGAGGTCATTCTGCAAACTTTGATTATCGTGGTTTGAATTAATAGGTCTATAAATTACACAGTCGTCGGCGAACAGACGTAAAATCGCGTTAAACTTTGCATGGATTGGCTCAACGTTTATAGACGAGGGGGCGCTGCGGTCAAATGCTCAAATGCGTATATAACCACGTTCCATACCAAACATTCTCTTTCTGACATGGATGAAAACGAACGAAAGGCTCGGCATGCTGCGGCTCAGCGTCTACGCAGACAAGCACCACCAGACCTTCGCTTCAGTCGTTCGACGATGGCGGCAGAGACTATGGCGTAGTGCCTTTCGTCGAATTCGTTTTTCAGTTTGGAGTGATTTCTGATGGAACTAGGGATCATGCGCACGTGACAGCGTGTGCTGTGGTGTGCAGCGGCGTAGACTTTCCATTGTCCCGGGGGGGGGGGGGGGGGGGGGGGGGGCAAGGGGGGGGCAGACTGAGAAGTACTCCGGGGGGGGGGGGGGGGGGGGTTGCTGCGCGTTACCTTTACCTAAATGAAAGATGTCCTGTTCCCGTCGTCGTCCCCGCTGTTTTTATACTTTCAAGTTTTGGATCTATTAACCAACACGCTCGTTTTCAATTGCAATTGTACCTTTTCACTAGAACTGGAGATTCAAGCTAACGGAAGCACGCTGGGATTCCATTTCCCATGTATTTTGTCAATAAAGGCAACGTGGGCGTTATTTTATTTACATGCCACTACTAGAAGCTCGTTACATGGCACGTAAACAGCGTCTCGGTAAGGATCATGGCCCGCGCCCAGGGGGGGTGGGTGGGGGGGGGGGGGGCTGTTCCCCCCCTTTCCCCCTGGATCTTAACAGGGGGGGGGGGGGGGCACGAGCCCCGATGCCCCCCGGAAGTCTACGGCTATGGTGGTGTGTACTGTGATATGGATATCGGCATGAAAAGGAATTTGAGATCAGAATAAGTAGGAGACGGGATCCATTAGGGTCTCGGTTTGTTTGACTCGCAGACGGTAAATTTGCTTGACAACTACGCTACTGTTTAGTTCTATGCAATTTTGTATGTGACGGTATTTCTACGGGACTTTTATGAATGACTAAACCTTAACTGGTTTAGGTCTTGTGTTAGAATCCTTCTGAGCACGATTGCTCACTAAAGGAAAAAAATTGGGGCTCCAATCCACGCGGTGAAGGTGGTTGGCCAGCGAAACCAAGGTATCACATGCAACGATTGCCCACTGCACTATAGACCCTTTTTATGGCAAACGCCACCAGGTGGTGTTCGAGTCTTCGACGTCCCGGAGAACTTCCGGTTTATAAAAAGAATAAACAAAGGCCACCTTAACAGCACTGCCTGAAATGTCGATAAAACGTTCAACCACCATTTCCCTAGGTGAACGCCAAAAGGACGGAGGAGTGCGAGATATGTTAAAAAGTTTCGAGTATTCTTGTAAAGCATTTTACCTCCTCCAAGATGTAATATTGTACAGCCGAAGGGTCTCGTTAAATCCCGAACTTTGTTGTCCGTGTAGCATTTATGCTATTCAGCACTGGTGACAGACAAGCAAGTTAACAGGCCTGTAAAGGCGGTGCGACCGGAAATCGCTTGGGACGCAAACGGCAGTTCATGTATGTAAACAGCAAAAGGGTCTATACCAAATGATTGATGAAAGAAAAGTAAATGCACTGTACCAAACGTTTTTATATATGAAGGACTTCGTACTTTGCCGTTGCCGCAGCAGCTTACCCAACCGCAATCTTTACCGAGAAACGTATGCGGGGAGGGCTACGTGTTTCGCATTGTCCGCGCGCGCCTTAGTATCTATCATGTGGTTTCGACACTTGATGTGTGGTCTTCTTATTGAAACAAGTGGCAAAACCAAATGATAGATGGTAAGGCGAGCGCGAACGATAATAAAGCGTGCGCGGTGGTTTTCTGTTGACTACAGTTTTGTCGACGGACACGAAACAAAAATGACCAACGAATCCTTTACAGCTTTGCTGTACCAAAACAACGAACCCTCGCGAAACACGCAACGTTCTAGACGTTCCAAGCCATATGTGTACATATTAAATACCTTCCACCTTTGACGACTGCGCATTCTACCAATTTGACGGCGAATGAACAGCGTGGGTGAACAGGCCACGCAGTTCAGGAGGCGGGATTGGAGAGGCCTTCGTCAGTCTATAGTCGGTGACAGGTTAAAAGTTGAGGGGAAGCTCCGCCCACCTCTTTCCACTTCAGCAGAGCGAGCGCCGAAAAAGTGGCGTCCTCTCCAGCGTTCGCTCTGCTCAAGTGGAAAGAGGTCGAAAAAGTTTCCCCTGAGGAGATAAATCTATCACCGACTATAGGTGATGCTGGCAGTGGTGAGGGTAGACCTTTCCGGAAAATCCCAGGAGACCTTGCAAGGAGGAGAATTGCGGGGCTGTTCGGATGCAAGATCGTGCCGGCTCGAACGCTTCGTACATCCCGGTAGCAGCACGATTAATTATTACTTATAATTAGAAGCTCAAAACACACAAACACACATACACAAAAAAAAAAATCCAACGAAAAATAACGTGAACGGAAAAGAAGATCGTCACATACTCTGTTTGGCTTTCCTTCGGCCTTCTTTGCGTTCTGAAATCACGAACTGTTACACCAACGTCAACTTCTTCTTCACGTCTAGGATAATTTCACGTGCCGTACATCTGAACATTCCAATGCGTAAAGCAGACGCTTGCGGCACCACATACTTCCGGAAAGGTGTATTGAATCTAACGTTGATTGAATCTCTGGGTTCTGCAGCGAGAGCTTTCGATCCACGTGCTCCGATACAAATCGCGGTCAGGTCGGTGGCTCACGAAAACGAAAAACTGAAGCCGCAATCCTACACTCTGAGAAAAAAAAAAAAAAGTTACATTCTGATACCCCTTGTGCCATATAAGGCACCCCAAAACTTTAAGTTCGACGTACAGTGAACTGATGCCAAACCGACGGTACCAACTTTCGCGAGCGGCTCAATAGCCGAATGTACAACTTATTAAAATAGCAAATATACATGTTACTGACCACAAGATATAATAATAAATAATAATAAAAAGGGGTTGTCGACCCTACTGCGAAACCTCGGTGTTTTTTTGTTTGTTTTTTTTCGCTTTTTTTTTTTAGTAGTCTTTGAAACGTACTTTAGCTTTCTAATAAAGTATCTCGCACCGTCATCAACACCCTCGTAAAAGTTGGGGCTGTCAGTTAAACATTAGTGCACTGTACGTCGAAATGAAGATTTGGGGTGCATTATATCGGACAAAAAGGTACAACACGGCACCCTTCTTTTATACTGTAACTACTCATACGTCGTACGATAGAAACGGCATTTGCTGCAGCTTGTCTGTGGGTAAACCGCAATCTTGTTCGAAGAATGTTAACTCCAAAAAAATTGGGTTGTGTGTACAGCCTAGAACTTGGTCTGCCTCACAGGGGCGACGAGTCTCCCAGCTCTCATGAGAAATTTAGCCAGTGCAGTACAACTGCTAGCCTGGGGTCTTTAACGTGCACCACGCAGTAGTGATAAACGACCGCACGCTGGTACGATGCTCATCCAGATCGAAACGGGCAGAGGTGGCGATTGAACCCAGGATTCCGCCTTCTGCAGCGGAATGTTACTTGCACACATATATATGTCTGGGGACAGTTTTTCCAGAACAAATGCGATACAGTATCGTTATAAAAAATAGACACATATCAGACAGAGTTTGTAGACTGCCTTTTGCACGATGTATTAGCGGTATGAACGCCGTTTAAAGGCGGGTTCACATATTTTGATATTTTATACAAGTACGAGCGACTCGTGGCGCATCACCAAAGATTCAGCCGATTCCGCGCAAACAAAATAAAGTTTCGACTTGCCCGAATAATTTTAATCTGGAATTTCAAAAATACTCCGCCCATTTTTTCCCTCTCTTTGCAGACTAGAATTGTTAAAAATAAAGAAATAGCGCGAACGAAAAATTCGCGTTTTCCGAATGGATCAGGAATAGGAACACACCTTCTACTTAGCTCAAACAGAGGCGCGCAGTTTCTATCAGCAACGAACAATTATTCTTAGACGTTTTTGGAGTGCAGCGCCACAGCCTGCTCCCGCTATATTTGTATTCGAAACTTCACGACATATAGACGCTTTGCAGCAGCTGTGCATGGGCACCGCCATAGCTGACCTTCAGTTTTTGTTTCCTCTTATTGCGTTTATTTCACGTCATCATTACCCGAGCAGGGCAGGTCACTGCCATTTTAGATTTTATTGTGTCCTTCTCCCCAGCATCGGCCTTTGTGAAGGCTCGCCAAAGTTCGCTTCAATGGCTCGGCATCTGGATAAGACAAGAGAAGGTCAGCCATGGCTGAAGTAATCTGGCCCGTGTGCAAAGCGTCTATAGGGGGGCAAGGTGCCTATCAAAATGGCTGTCGTCCAAATGATCGTCATACAACAGCAGTGCGAGGCTGGGTACTGCGACACGTAAGTATTTCTAGTTTTGCTAAATACAAACAATGCTAAAAACTTTTTTTTTTTTTTTTTTTTTCACGTCGGGAAGGCGTAGGCAAGCACCTTTATTGTGGCGCCGATCACCTAGGAGCTAGGGAGTGCGACTCTCACACCGCGGTACCACCATTGCTGGAAATTGCTAATTGGTCTTACGCCCGAGTCCCACTATAGAGCGCAAAAAAGCAGAAACAACCGACAGCGACAAACCTCAAACCAGATTCTTTGCCGATTTGACAGGCTTTGTAGAATAAAGAAGGCTATGTTCAAACACGAGCATCATGCACGCGAGGGTAGCTTTGGCAGGCTTGCAATCACTCGTACTTACTCGCGATGGAACCCTTGGCAGGCATTTAGTCGTTCGAGCAGCGAACGACTAAACGGCTGCCGAAGATGCCATCGCGAGCAGCATGCGTTGGAGGCATGTCCGTGTCGGCGTTTTTTGTTTGTCGCTCTAGTAGGACTCGGGCATTACGAGTAAGTGTCAAATACGCAATGCACGCGGCGCATGATTCGTGTCGTTCTGGGAAACAAATGGCGGCGCTGCACTCGCGTTCCGAAAAATATGTTTAGGGGGATCGGTGGCTGAGTGTGCAGTTCGGAGTGCAGCAGCTCGGCGAGCATGGCGAAATCTCGCGCCGCAGAACCCAGTGCAAAGCCTCCCATATGAGTTTGACAATATCTGCCGAAGCAGAGCACGCGCAATACGAGGGCAGCTGGCAAAAAGTGCGCATCGCTGCAGAAAACCCCAGAGACAAGGAGCTAAAAACGACAAGACCGACACCGTCCCGGACGCTCTTGTCCTTTTTAGTTCCTTGTCTCTGGGTTTTTCTACTATGATTCATCACCAGCTCGCCTGCGTCTTCACTCCAATTTCTAAAAGAAGTGCGCGTGGCTCAAGGCTAATGGCTCTAAACAGAGCCAGTGTCTGCGGGGAAGACAACCTTATGCTGCGCAGGGAGCATGCTCACCAGGGAATGGGTTATCCTGCCGGCGAAGCGAGTAGCCCTTGGCAGCCATTCGCGCTAATTTTGCGAACTGTTGCTGGTTTACGAGGCATCCGTGATTACCGCTCGGTGCAGGTTAATTATAAAAGGAAGCGTCGGGCAGTAAACTGGTTTTAGACCAATGAACAGGCGAGTGAAAAATAACCTGAGCGTAGGCGTGTCGTGTTAACTTCTGAATGAGGAAGCTCTTTTAATGGAAACTACTTATTTTGTAAATAACGAGAAAGCAGTTGACGGAACGTTTGTAGAACACACATTAAACCAGACATAATAGCTCAAACCCACATAGTTGAAACGCAATCGTACCACTGCGTTGAACGGCGTTCGTGGAGGTAACGGGCAAGATAGTGACCTGTCGCTAGTGTCTGTCGTCCGATTGTTATATACCACGGAGGGGAAGGAAGAATGTCTGCGACACAATTATCCTAGCTGCAAATAGGTACGACAAAACGAAGAGTGCATTGATTGTGCCTCTCCGCTTATTAGAGACCACACCGTGGAAGGTCTCTAGCTCAACTTTTGAAACTTACGAGAAAGATGCTGCTTTCGCACAAACTTAGTGTACGCCTCATTTGTTTTTCTGTTTCACTGAAAGCATAGTGTATTAGAAGTCACTAAGTGTATTAGAAGCTCAGACCTTGTGCAAATGAGACGAACTTTGAGCTCCATCAGACGAGGCACAAAGGCAAACTTCTCGTCAAAGATCACGGTCCGAGGACGAAAATGGCCTTTCGGTCGATCGCGTGAATCTGCCGTTAGACGAGATCGTCAAGATTGCTTACTCCAGAAAGACGAAGAAACCGGTGAGCTCTCTTGTCTCCAAGTGCAGGTCGTGGTCCGACACACCAAGACGCAGACCGGAAGCTGGAATAAAAAAAAAAAACACGAAAACAACGATTCGCACATTTTTGGGTGAACAAAGGCATGGCGTATCAGGTATTGGAATCCCGCGGGCCGGATTACGCGTGACTATACTCAGTTTCACTTTAGGTAGGACAGCACCCGGCGCAACGATTCGAGTGCAGCCAATCACAAAAGTGAATCATCATGGCACTCATAGTCTTTGGGGGTTTACCACAATCTTGCGCTGTTCTTACGCGTGATTGATTTAGCCCGCAAGAGCTAACGCGTAAAAAATCGACGGGCACCGTGACGATAGACGTTTGGCGCCGCTTGATTGGCTAATCGAAGCGTGGAGTCAGCAGCGGCAGGACTTGAAAGAAATGCGGAGTTATAGAGACACTGCATAATCGTCGCTTCGAGTGTCGCAAACCTGTTCTCTAGGTGTCTCGTGGGCGCCGCCATTTTGGTACCCAGTGTAGAGTGGGCGCAAATGGCGATAATCAACACTCGAAAATACGCGACTTCCCGAACCTTAGATACGTTGTCTGCAAGCTCGGGCAATATCGCTTTGCTCTGTCGCCGGCTGTTTAAATGCATACAAAAAACAGGAAAGCGTTTTTGTTTGTGTGTTTGTTTGTTCTTGCAATATTCGACAAAGTTAGTTTACTGACAAAAAATTATTTTTGGCAGCAAGATGACTGAAGTTGTCGTTACATTGGAACGTTTAGCTTTTTTAGTAGCTCCGTACAAGTGACAAGTTCTTGTTTGACCAGAATATGATTCAACCGGCCAACCGAAATCCCAAATTGTAAATTTTGATTAAAAAAAAAAAAAAACTGTTCTGATTGTTTTCGCATGGATTTTGCGCGAGTGAGACAAATCACAGTGTAAGGTGCATGCGACGATGCTTATTCACGTACGCTCACTTTTCAATACTTTTGTGTGTGCCTAAATTGTTAGCGTGACGGGCACGTGTTTACAATTTTGTGAGAAAGTAGGTGGCTAACTGGATGTACAATCTGCATTCGGTAGTGGACCAAAACGGTGTTCGAAAAACCCCTTCCTAAATCATCGTCACCACGACAAACGACAAGTTTAGTATTCGACTCAATTGGGGTGGATGAATCAAACACTTACGTCACATCTCGGAGATAATCTGAAAGAAGCCGATAAGCGCGGCACGTGACGTTTGACAGAACGTGTTGCGCAAATAGACTGCTAGACAACAGACATGTTGCAAAATCGGAGCGATCCGTAGTGCCGCCCAAAGCATCCCGATGTCCCCACTGGCAAAAGTTTCGTTCTCGATTTTCCGATCTCACTTCGCGACCTCCCGTCATGACCAAATACAGTGCTCGCATTTTCGAATATCTGACTGTTTCTTAAATTTATAATACTGTCGGTGTTGCCCACCAATACGGATAAAATCGAGACCACACGCTACTTCTCTACCAGACCAAATAGGGCCCATAATGCAACGCGCGCAGCGTTGCATGCAGGGAGTTTTGGAAGTCTACAGCCTATTGCCACGGTGTGTCCGCTTCCAGAGTACGGTGGCATTAACAGTGGCCAGTGACCGTAGTGGCATAATAGTAGTGAGAACAGTGACATTACTCGGATAACAAAAGTAGGAGCAACAAAAATAAGGCTCGCAAGAAACAAATTCCCAACGGCAAGCTTTTAAAATCTTGGAACAAAGTACACTCCTTTATCAAAATGACGGTTGGACCTTAGGAGACGAAACCTACCTGCGGTCGCGACTGTCAGCACGAGATAGGCAATCGCCGATAACAGCCGCATTGTCGTTCCGGGAGGAGATAAGGCCACTGGGTGTCCTGCAACGAAACGAACAGACAAAGAAATGTCATTCATTCATTCGTGAGTTCCTATAGTCCCGCAAAACACGGTACTTCGTTTAACTCCAAGTCCAATCGCACCGGACATTACCATGCGTTGGGGCTAGGTGGCGCAAGCTAACGCCCATTACAAAGGGTATAGCCGTAACATCCATTCATACGGGCCACTCAAGCAGTGCCAAAAGTGCATCGTCACGGCTCTCGCCGTCAAATTCAAACCGTGGATTCTAAATATTGAAACTATAATCTAGTTAATGACTGACGCAGTAATATACATCGCGACTTAACTGACGTGATGTTACATTACACGACAGAAATCACAAGAAGTAAAACATGAAATTTCCTAATTCGAGTGCTGTACAGTTCACGAATTAATCATTTTATTATATTATTTGTTTCTCCCTATCGTCTTCATTCAGCGATGAATCCATCAAAATCAAAAATATAAATAATTGATTTCCATACACCTTACTCTACCTTATGAGAGTCACCGAGGAAGAAAAAAAAAAACGACCAATCACTGGGTTGCAGATGGATGGCCGGCGTATAATATTCCACACTATAGTCTGTTACAAGTCAAGAAGGTAGGAGAAGCTCCACCCACAAGCGTGATGCGCCCGTTTCAAATCTCTCCGCAGTCGAAAGAAGAGTTCACTGGAAACGCTCCTTGTTCCGCTTCAATGGATTCCCACTTGTCTCCGATCCCACTTTTTAAGAAAGCGACCTTTGTATTCATCGGAGAGGGAACCGAGCCCCCGAAAGCAGCCTTTGTATCCATCGGGGGGAGCTAATCCCCGAAAGTCGTATTTGTTTCCGTCGGTGGGGGAGAACTCTAATCTTCCTTTCGGGGCTTCCACAATGCTAAGTCAAAGTCGAAAGATAAAGCAAATATGTACAAAAAGGCAAGACCCTCCTCGCGCGTTGGCCGCGACGTCACGGAAACGGTGGGACGCTATTGGATGCGGAGGTGGCGGAGGGATATCTGATTCCCTTTGAGGGGCATTTGCCGCTACCTTCTTAACCTGTAACTGACTATAGAGAGCTTTTTTTTTTTGCGTATCTTAGAACAGGTTCCAAAGCCCAGAAGTCAAAGCTGGAAGCGCGCATAACACGACGATTAGAAAGGTCTATATATATTTTAAAAAATCGAATCAATTAAGTCAATGTAAGAAAAGAAAACGCCGTTTCATGTCAACCAAATGGCAGCTCAGTGGCACTGCGAACACATCATGAAAACGGGCGACCGCACAAAACACTCACCCGAAACTTGGCTCGCGCCCGAAGATATGTCAACGTACGGTTTCCAGTTTGAGTCACATTCGCATAGGAGAGATATGGCCGGAGTTTGGCGACTGTCACGTGCAACTCGCCGGCGAGGCAGCAGAAACGCGCGGCCGCGCTGTATGGAGACTCCCACCCTAAATAGCGCTTTCGCAATGTCAGAGCCTATCTAAGGGCGTAACTTGGAGCTGATAAGGCAGCCCCGGAGATGGATCGGTCCATTCTACAATCAAAGAACGATTTAGGGGGGAAGAGATAAAGACAAAAAGGATGCGCTGATCGCTGATGCACTGTATAGACTTTTGCAGAAATAGCTCGCTGGCCGCCGCCATTTTGCGACTCGAGCGACCCCTATCAGCCAAAAATTTCTGCCACCCGCCTGAGCTGTGGCAAGGGGGGATCGAGTGGCCGTGGCTGTGGAAACCCGGTCAGCGCGACTCCCCACCTGCATTGTGTGTTCGGAGTTCGCCGTCTTTCCTTGAAAGTGCTTACTCTATTTGCCTGTTCAGGACGCTTGCGTGTTTTTGTAATCTTCCACTCCGAGAACCAGGGAATACCAGGGCTGGTAGCCTGCTGGACCTTCGCAGGAAACGAACAAAGAGAGCGAGCGAAGAGAGCGAAAGTTAAGCAGCCCGCGACGCGGGCCGTTCGACTTTCTTCAAGGATTATTTCCGTTGAGATAATCTCCGAAAAGCTCTCCCGGTTATGTTCCCGGTCTTGGCGAGAAGTAGCTGATAGGGTCCGGGGTATGGGAACTGAACAGACACGTATGTTCATTTGATTTAGTGCTGTGTAAAAAAAAACAGAAAAAAAAAACATTATTCTTTAAAACGAAGCTGGATTCCGTCCGATCGTTATGAAGTGACTATCGTCGACACTGTATATTGGATATGCTGTGTTATTTGAGACCTTTCTCAAATCCTCTTCGGATAACGCGGCACCGTGGGGTACGTACAATATATATTGTTCGATTGATGAGACTCGGTTGATTTCATATAGTGAGCGGGCAATACCCATGCAGTGGAGCTATCCTCTGGTGTGGTCAAATATGTTAGGCAGTTAAGATCTTTGTAGGTTGACACGGCTGAGTGTATGGTGCCGTTAAAAGCATCAGCATAAAATGAAACAAACATTCCAGTTGCATTTGTTCTGTCGCGCACGGACTCGCCGAAAATAGCTTAGATTTGTTTGTTTTTGTTCCCAAAAATAGTTAAATGCTTTTTTAATAACTTCGAGAAATTCTTTTCGCCATAGAACACAAAAGAAAAAATAAAGCGAGGCGATTTTGCCGCCACCAGCGTTCAAAATTGTTCCAACGCAGGCTGCCACAGCCTACTGACGAGAAACTCCACAGCTCAGCGCAGTCGGGCAACACTGACGTATACTCTCAAAACCAGGAACGCGCGCTGGAAATCGCTTCGTTCGAGACTGCCGCTGGAAAGGCCTATAGGACGCGACCACGGAGGGAGGGTATAAAACAAGAAACGACGTTTACACATGCCACGTGGTTTGTTAACGGCGCGGAGCAGGAAGCGCACACAGAGCTCGTAAGCAGCGTCTCAGCAACAAAAACACTTTTGCTGTTGTTCGCAACCCTGTAAAAGACACCACCCGACGTGAAAAAAAAAAAGAAGAAAAAAACGGGAAGGAAGGACAAACCGTACACTTTCAAGGTCTAAAAGTCGTACCTCCCTATAAACAGCCGTTTTCACCAACAAGATTTGGTATACAAGTCGCGCTTTTTTGTATAAGTTGCAACTGAACGATAAATATAACCCCCACGGCAAGCTGCCGCACGTAATTCGCACAGTTTTGTGAAACTCATCGAAAAAAAGATTTTCTTTAAAAATCGCGACTATTATACACCAAAAATTACAGAAGTACCAAACTAAACAATTTGCACTTTTTTTCTTTTTTTTTTTGGGGGGGGGGGGGGGGGGGGAGGGGTTGCTACGTTTACACATCACACAAGAGACACGGAGTTTCTCTGCGCACATGATGACCGAATTATCTGCGAACAATGCCTCAGGTGTCTGCGGAAGGTTAGCCGCCGGCGTTATCGACTCTAAACGCAACTCTAAACGCGCACATAATTATCGTAGTTCACCTCGCAAAGGGGAGGAAATGTGTAATGATGGCCGAGGAGCGAAATTTATGTTTACCACGGATCTTGAAGAAGCATCAACATGAAGATCTATTCCCACTTGGCCAGCCAACCACGAGGACTTCTCGTCAACGGAAGAGGAGCAAACAAGTTTCGACCGCAACTCTTATTCACATAAACAAAAAAGAAAAAAGACTTCATTTATCTTTAGTGGTTTGGAGGCCGCTTAACCCTAGAATTGTTTGTTAGGGAGCTGAACTTGAAGCGCCTACGAGGCAGGTTAAGTTTAGGTGAAACAAGACCCCCAAGTGTATGAGTAAGAGTTACACAAGCTTGATCATGCAGACAAAGTCCGGGGGAGCGCAGATTGTGCGGAACGCGAACTATACCTTGCTGAACCGCCTCGAAGAACTTGAAGTCACGTGACTTGAAGTAACATGATGTGATCATGTGATGTCAATTTCCCCGCTAAATATAAACAGAAAATTGACGTGACCTTTTTTTTTTTTTTTGGCGATTTTTCAAGGTGCTTTTTGTGACGATTCTTTTTGACGATCTTTCGTGACGATCTTTCGTGACGATCTTTCGTGACGATCTTTCATGACATTCATTCGTGGCGATATTTATATGACATTATCCTTCGTGACGATATTATTTGACGGATTTCTTATGAAATTGGCCTGATAAAACGCATTCCGTCTTAATAATAATGAAACACTGCTGCGGAGTCAGCTTCCGCACGTCGAGAGCAGACGAATTCCTGATGTATGTACGTACGATAACTCCGGCAGCTAGCCTTTCGCTTCGACCGGCACGCAGAGTCTTTCCATAGTACAAAGACGCACGCAGCTGGCGAAGACGTGGAAACTTTCGCGTGGCTGTCACTCAAACGTCCCGCAGAAATTGCCAGAGCCAAGCGCATAACGATGTTGGGAACGGAAGCGGAACTATGGCACTGGCCACCTGCCAAACCCTGCTAAAAAGAAAAGTAGAGCTGACGCTGATGAGCGCGTGACACAGCGTGCCTAATTTAGTTCATTTCATTTTACTGGCCATATTGAAGTGGGGTGGCAGACAAAAAAGGTGCCTAATAGCACATGACGTGCACCACACAGGTTTCGGAGCGGCACAACACACATTAGAAAAAAAAAAAACTTGTTTACATATTTTTATGCTAGGTATTAATACGCTCCAAAATATAATCCCTTATTTTTTCTGAATGTATCTATCGACTTCATTTATTCAGCCATTTCAAGAATTTGAGGATGCATGCTTAGAAGTTGGGAAATTTACTGCGTTCATATTTGTTCGCCACTGCCATTGGGTGCGAAATGACTTGGTGCCAGCTTTGAGATAACGAAAGACGACTTTTTTTAGCTTGAACATTATTAACGGCTGTGTATTAAGCAAGCGATTTTTTTTTTTAATATAAGCAGATGTGTGATCGCTGCAACCAAGACACTCGATCGATCGGGTCGGTTTTTTCTGGAGCACTAGTAGTTCTCCAAAGTTACTTTTTGTTGTCGTTCGCCAAACCAATGAGCAGAACGCAAATGAGAGTGAAAAGGTGCATACTACAATCGGCACTTAAAGGAGCTGTGAAACGATTTTAACGTCGAAAGAATTGCATCTTCTACTTTTGACATTGCTTATCTTGTCACAAAGGACAGAAAACACACCTCCTTCTTTTGAAATGTTGCGATTCCGCCGCGTAATCCGGAGGTAAAAATTAGAATATTCCCCGACCTGCAGCTGCGAGCGGCGGCCATGAGAACCATGCGGCATGACGTCAATGGGGTCTTGCAGAAAGATAGCAAGTTGTGTGAATACCAGTTTGGTAAAAGGTAACCTTTCTATAGATCTTATCGTTAACATAAATATAAATGCGCCAAAAACCTGGTATCATCGACAAAACTTTTATTATACGGAGTTTTAGTGGCGCCATCTATCGTAGGTCCACAAAACCGTCAGTTCCATCACGGGGATGGCCGGACCCGGATGAGACTTTCCTCCTTTCACCATATTGTTCGCGCTGCGCCAGCACGTGATCACGCGATCGCGAGCGGATGAATTCTCACTGCTCACTGATGGCCACGGTGTAATGACGGATCTAGAGAGAGAGCTTCACCGGAACCTCGCGCGACTCAATTGACGTCACAGCGCACGTGACTCGGAAGGTGGTGATGGAGTAGAGAGGTGCCGAAAACCTCAATCTTTGTGCATTTTTAAAATAAAAAGTAGGACGTGCAGGCAAAAGAGTTTTTTTGTTTTTTTTATTTACTTTAGAAAGGTCGAGAGACCAACTCCCAAATGATTTAAGTAAGGCACTGCAATTGTTGCACAGCTCCTTTAAGCCATGTTGGTAATAAATATATAATTTTTATATACTGCGCTGCTAGATCTGCAAAGTGTTAAAGATAACTTGGACACATGAGTTGTCCAGGACAGGTGTTCATGAAACCATAAACCCAGACACTTTAAAGATTCAATCTCCAGTGGGCAGGAGTTGAACTTTATATCAATTTCGTAGTTGAGCATGTTATTTTTTGCTTTATATTCAATGCAGGCTGGTTAGCAAGTAGCCACAGTTATAAATTATTTAACCAATCATTAGCGGTACTTTCAAGATAGTGGAGGTAACCATGGGGGCAAAATACATTCGAGTCGTCTGCGAATAATACCGTTTCTGAGCGATGCGGAATATGAAATATATCATTGATATAAAGAAGAAACAATAGTGGTCCTAATATTCATCCTTGCGGGACCCCTTCGTTATTCGATAGATATATGATTTGACGCCGTTATAAATGGTGAATTGTGATCGAGAACTCGAGTAACTATTAATTAATAAGTTCGCTATGTCCCTCAGACCGAACATGTTTAGCTTTGTTAGTAGTATTTGTTGTTTAATTCAATCAAATGCTTTTCGGAAGTCAAGAAATATTTCGATCGTAAACTGTTTATTTTCAGTGTTGAACATTTTTTTTTATATTTAATATTTACGAGTGCAATTTTTGTCGATTTATTCTTCTCAGACCCAAACTACTGTTTGAAGATTATAATGTTTTGTAAAAAAAAAAAAAAAAAAACTAATCAAGCGATTGATCAACATTTGTTCTAAAATTTTCGAGAAAAAAAAAAGGGAAGTACAGAGATCGATCTGTAATTTTCTGTCATTCCATGCACTGATTA